CACACCTCGCAACCTCACGATTCCCTGCGCCTGCCACGAGAATCGCACTTCCACGCCTTAAAGCCTGCACAAAGCCCTGCGCCTGCCACGAAAAGTGAACAAAATTTGCACCGCAGCACACGTTTGGAATTATTTCGACCCTCTCTGAGCACACTCCCATCCACCAAAATCGCCACTTCAGCTGAGACTTGTCACGAAAGCAGAGCTTCGATGCAACACCCTGAAATGCAAATCCCAATGTTACAGCCATATCCAACACCCCAAAATCACCACTCTCCAAACGCCAATCCCAATGTCAATGTGACTGCACAGAAAACTGCCGATCTAACAAAACGCTGTGCCTGCGCAGTGAACTCATCCTTCACACTTCAACATCTTACGTTTCCACACGTTTCCTCGCTATTTCACACGAATCTGACACATCACGCTTCCATGCCAAACCCTCTCCAAAACCTTCCCCGAATGGCAGCGGCCTTAGCGTCTTCCTGCGAACGGCGGCGGACGGTTGACAACAGTTGCGAACCTAGAGACAGACAACGGGTCGCGAACAAGCCTCTACCCCCAGACCTCCACAGAGTTAAACGAGAACCCTTCGCTACGCATTCGGGAAAACATAGACAACTATACAATATATCCGTCGAGACGGATATTTAACCTGCCACGCCAAAAGTGAACGAGCCACTCACCCAGCACAAATCACTAAAGTCTCTCTGGAATAGAAATGTGCGCAATGTTGCTGGATGGGAATGGCAACACTTACATGATCTGCAACATGGTGCGCAGGCTTGAGGCCCAAGACAAAGACCCGTACGTAGCTTTGGTCATGGCACCCAATTGCTCTAGGGCAGGCAATACCTCATTTGTGCATATTTCCTTCGCCAGCGGTAATCCATGGTCAACCTGCGAAGCTTCCCATCGTCCCCTATGGCATCCGACATGCCAGGAATCCAAACCTTGCCTTTTCAGTTGCTGAAATCCCTGCACCATAGCTCACCACTGTGCGTTCCACATCCTGGGAAAGCTATGGAAAGCTGTCTGTCCCTGTCAGACTTTGGGAAGCACACCATCTACTGTAACTCAACACACTCACAATCCATTCTGCATGAATCGGCTTCTCTGTGTCATCTGTAGAACAAATCTCAACGTGTAACACTTGTGTCAAAACGTCCTGGACCTTCCCGATCAAGTGGACACTCCTGTCTCCAGTGGAATAATGCGACCAGATGGGACGGTCGGTGTAGTCACAGTCATGGTCAATCGATGTCGGCTCCGAAAAGGGATTCCAAGGTCAAAACAAAAGGAGATCTTGTTGGTATCAGGACACGAGCAGGGCCCTGCTGAAAGCAAAAAGGTATTTATGGATATATAGTTCAATCAGGTTGTAGAACACAGTTTCAAGTTGAGAGGCCTGATCTTTTTTCAGTTGCTGGTTTTGGCCTCCTCCTCCTCAAGCTTTTGCTGCATTCTAAACAGAGTGCGACACCAAGTTAGTTGTAAACATGATGTGTCTACAAACTGTTTGAAGCACCAACCTTGGAAAACTTGGTCTGGCCCAGGGGGTTACGCCAGTTGCCGACAGCGCTGATGCACCAGGGTAAGGTGAGTTGATCAGTTTCCTTCTGAGGAGGGCCAGGACATCATTGGATGACAAGGTTGTTGAACGAATTACTATAACGGGCAGCTAACTAACAAACAAGCAAAACAAGCCCCGCCATTCAAAAGACCATGGGAAAGCTCTGAGGATGAACTGAATCATCGCGGCCTCAATTGCCTCAGGCTCAAATGATCTAATTATCGCACATCCTGCCAATCTAACTACTCTTCTCAACTCCTTCTTGCAGTTCGAGGGAGAGGGGTCAAAGCTGGATTCGTTGTGATGGGCACTGGCACTCGACTCTTGTTTCCTCGCCTCGCTGGATAGGTGTTGTCCTTCTTCTTGATGCATTGTGCGAGTGGGCAATCCACCGCGGAAACTTGCAAAGGCAACTTGTTCAATAACTACAACTACAACCAAGTGGTCAGTCCTCACTTCCTATCGTGATCTTTCAATTGCTGGTTTTTGCAGTCGTCTGGGGGGAGTGGCATCCGATGGCCAGAGGGATGCAATTTGCATTCCAAGAGTGAACCTGAAGAGATGTGCTTTATCCGGAAACAAACACATCTTGGGTGCTGTTGGTACAGCTTCTTTTTTGAGTTGGGAGTGATGGTTGCAAATGCTGGGCAAGTTGGATCTGAAAGGTTTCAGAGCTGAGGGCCAGCCAGAGATGTACATGATGCACGATATGTATATACTGATATATATATATATATATGTGATATATGTGTGTGTTACGCTAATTATGTGTGTATATAATATACATACACAACTGTCTGCTAATTTAATCACCTGTCACAGGTCCGCACCTACTGCGTCTCCTCTGCCATTCGAAGGCCTTTCCACAGCCACTCGCGGTCGAGTTGAAGCTGACCACATCCGGCAGCAAATCCCACTGGAGTCAGGCAAATGTCCCAATCTCTCGGCAAGAAAAAGCGTAAGCTGGCAAACAAGTGTTTGCCCATAAAGCTCTGCTGGTAAGTAAACTTCCTGGAAAATTACTTTGTCAACGCAACTGGACATGAATCCGGTCGGTCATCCAGCATGGGAATCTGGTAGACCTTGACCGGAATTCTCAAAACTAATTGCGGGTTGCAGGAGTCCTGCAAGGTTCTGCAAAAAAATATTGGGGGGTGGTTAACAACTCACCCCCATCCAAGATTAAAAAGGACGCGCACGCCTTGTTCGCAACCCTACCCCTTCACGGGGGAGCCCAAGTCCTTTCATGGTCTTTTTGAAACGCATGAAGTTTCCCAACGGAGCAAGAACTGCTAAACGTTAGCCCCCCTCCAATGCCCATCTTGGGATTTCTCAATAGACTCTCCGAGCTAGATCAAATGTTTGCGTTTCACTATCCACCAACTGGCAAATTTTAGCAAGAACAGGTTCCCTACGACCATATATTTACGCACTTCTCTCAGCTAATCATGGTGGCAACTGTTGAGTCCAGGCACCCCAGGTAACCACGCCAAGAAATGTATTGCTCTCCGCCACTGGCCACCTGCCAAACACCGCGAGGACCGAGCAAACCGTCCAGCCAGATTACTCTGGTGGCTGCCTACATGACAAAGAAAGGGCGAAGCTTGAGTTCAAAGAAGGAAAACAGTTTTAGGTGGCTTCTTGCTGCTAGTAGCAAGGTGGCTTACTAGTAGTAACAAGCTACTAGTAGTAAGACACCTTGCTATTAGTAACTTTTGTTACTTGTAGTACAGTAATGCCCTTGTTGCTAGTAGATTCCACATCTGATTAGCCGATCACCATGTGGTTTGTCCATCTGAGAAGGAGGTGGTGGGTTTGAATGCCATCCAGGTGTGCACCTTTGTCACATGCGCTGATCGCAGCATTGACAGCATTCACATGTGGCGGCAGCCTGGGCGGGACACCGACCGGAATCTTTTGTGGCAAACATCAAGGGCTATCAAAATCTATCAAAGGCCAACTTGTTCATCGTTTCGCCACTACGCCCTAAATTCTCAACCGATGGAAGGTTCAACAGTCCACTGGTGGTCCTCTATCTAGGGACGTGTCAGCTGAAGGGCAAGAGACAGCTATCATGGGCATTTCCCCAAAACGAACCAACAAGACGCGGTCTTCAGCATCATGTTCACACAAGTGCTGGAGACAGCGCCCAAAGCCACTTGTTTGAGAGACATTTCTTGAGAAGCAAGCACAGGGAATTGATTGTATGAAAAGAAGCAAGGCAGATATTCAACTATCAAACTATCGCCAGGAGTGGAATAATTATGCAAAAATGGATCGTCAACATCAACTAATGTTAACGTTAACTATAAAAAATCGTCCGGCAAGATATCGCCCAGGCTACATTTGCAAAACTGCATAATATAATACCGTCCAAAGAGGACACTGTCGAGTGCGGCGGAAGTGTGTTGAAATATTGACTTCAAGATAAGTTTGGTTCACGCTTGGAAAGGGGAGCCTCACCTCTGCAATTTGGAGGCAGTTTCGTTCAGAACGGGGCTCACAGCGTTGGCTGGGATCCTTTCAGTTCGACGGAATCGCTGAACACCTGACCCGCAAACTCTGCAAACCCGTGTAGCTTTACACTTTACGTCAATGCCGTGACAACGTGGGCACCAAATTCCCTCAAACCCAAGTGAATGGTCACGTCAGAGCATATTGCGGACGGGATGCGGATACTCATAGCATTGGAACTCCTGCATAAGAACCAGGGCCAATGACCAATTCCGACCTGAACGGAACACAGCTGGCTCACCAGCATTTGGCTGTCGAGCTCAACCCAGCCTGTCAGACATCGACACACTTGACAGGCCGCCAAGCAAAGATTACTGTAGTACCAGGACTTTTGCAGTCGAAACAGAAGGGCGACTTGGTCAGAGGCTAAAAATGTTGCAAGGGTGTGGGCGTGGACGCCTGCCCCGTGTGCCTTGCTCACAGGCTCCAATTGCTATAAGATAGCTCACAAGGGTCGGCTGAAGAGCACGCTTCCTTCGGACAAAATGGGACAGGCTGAGATGCACACAGATTCCGGAGATTCTTTGGAACAATTTGGATATCTAATGATATCTAGTGCTCTGAGCGGGTTGTTGCCAGGTGAACCCATGACGGCCATGTGACGTACGGTCAACATGTTATGATACGCGGCTATTGCATTGGCATATTTGTCAGTCCCCTATCGTTTCCCAACCTTGGTAAAGGGTAATGTTGGATGTTGATTAGTAAGCCGGTCTTCAATAATGCTAACATTTTCCAAAATTATTCCAGACCCCATGTTTGAAAAAGTGGTCATGAATGATGCTAAATTTTTTGGGGGTCCCTATTTGTTATTGGACACCCAATAAGGGTTTGAATTCCCTCCGAACCCTGTCCACCTGCACTCCCCCCTCCCTTCCCAGGCAAGCAAATAAGAAAAGGTTTTTTCCACTGGAAAAATAGATCTGCTCATGGAATCTTCCTTTACTTAGCTCCTAAGGCCAATGATGATGATTCATTATGTAGCTGATATAGGTTTCTCTAGGTTTTCTTCAACACTGACAGCTTCCAAACCCACCAATTCCTAATTCAATCCTTTATGTGAACATTGCTCCTAAACAAATGTTCAAGGTAGTAGA